ACGTGAGACGAAGATAACTCTGTTCTTACTAAGGACATAAAGATACGCAAAGATAAGGACGAATTCTGATTTATTTATCGCGCGCCAAGCAGTTTAGTTGTTCTATATAAACCCCTCTTGTCCTGTGTTGTTTTGCTACCTCTAAGCTCTCTTCTCACCCCCATTTTCTCTGGAAATCTTTGGGTTCGCTTTCTGGGTTGTTTTAGCCCTTCGTTTCTACTTTCTTGGGAAGTTTCTTGACTCGGATTTGTTCAAGTTTTACTGAAACAAGTAGTAAAGAAGATATGACTAATACTGCACATTTTGTGTTTGGAATTTTTGGTGAGTTTTCATTGCAATTTGGAGTTGTTGTTCTTTCTATCCGTGTCTCTTTAATTCTTTTATTGGGGTTTTCTTTTTCTTTTTCTGTTCTCATTCTTTTCCTTGGGTTTCTGTTTTTCTTTTGCAATTCATAAGTTTGGCTTTGTTTCTTTCACACAGGAAATGCCACTGCTCTGTTCCTCTTCTTGGCACCAACGTAAGCATTCTCTCTCTCTCTCTCTCTCTCTCTCTCTCTCTCTCTCTCTCTCTCTTTTCTTGTGCTCAGAAGTTGAAATTTAAGGGTGTTCTTATCCAATTCTTCTTTGTTAATGTTAGGATTACATTCAAAAGAATCATTACGAAGAGATCAACTGAACAGTTCTCTGGCATTCCGTACGTCATGACCATGCTCAACTGCTTGCTTTCTGCTTGGTAAGCCTCTTGGACCTTCTTTTACTCTGCCACTATTTGAACTGATTGTAACTTCTTTTTTTAGTGTTTAATTTACTTTTCAGTACCCTTAATTTTCCTGGTATTTACCTTCAATAAACTGCAATTTATTGACTTGATGGAGTCATATCATATTGCTACAATGTTTCCTGATCAATTGGACTGAATAGGTATGGCCTGCCTTTTGTGTCACCAAACAACTTGCTAGTGTCAACAATCAATGGCACTGGTGCAGCAATTGAGTTCATATATGTTGTGATCTTCCTCATATTTGCACTCAAGAAGGAGAAGGGCAAGATCTTGGGGCTCCTTACCTTTGTCCTCTCTGTTTTCGCCACCGTTGCATTCGTTTCCATCTTTGCTCTCCATGGCAAAAGTAGGAAGCTTTTCTGTGGTCTTGCTGCCACAAGCTTCTCCATTATCATGTATGGTTCACCCCTGTCAATCATGGCAAGCTATTAACAAATTGTTTTCATGCTGATGAGCCAACTTGTTTTTCATTTATTTGTTTAGCCTCAGTTGTGAATTTAAGGGTTCAACTTAGATTGAAGTGAATTGAGTAACTGTGTCCAAATTAATATGGTGTCAATCATTGAACAGAGTAGATATCCTGGTAGGAAAGGCATCTAGCTTTGGTTGCCAGTGGCAAAAGGGGAACCCCATTTTGTATCAATAAATATGCATCCTTCACCTAGGCAATTCTAGACACCATCAGCAAATTCAATAAAAAAAATAACAAAGAATTAGCGGGTTTGGGTTTAGCTTTAGCGGTCACGGGCCGAGTGATGAACAATTAGATCCATTAGAAGTGTCAAATGAGGGGTCGACACAACTCGACTAAGCACGACACGAAGCCGCTAAACACATATGTACAAATCTAACAAAATATGAACTCGGCTATACACTATCATAAAATGGGCCAGATATTGAGCAAAATTTGACACGACATGAACGCGATACGAAATGGCTCACTGCGAGCCCTGCTTTCACCTCCAAACTCATGCAGTAGTGTCCAAATGACCATCACAGAACGCTCTCATGTATTTATAACTTCTTGCTATTGTGTTGACTGTGGGGAGAGAACCAGTGGTTAAGGAATTCAACCCTAAGAAAGGAAGTATGTCAACTAATATAAATAACATTCGTATATGTGCATTATTGAGATTGTATACTCATGAACATTATACATTTGCAGAGGCTGGTGATCACAACGAAGAGCGTGGAATTCATGCCATTTTTCTTGTCTCTGTTTGTGTTCTTGTGTGGCACATCATGGTTTGTCTTTGGCCTGCTCGGAAAGGACCCTTTTGTAGCAGTAAGTTGATTGACTTAGTGCCTTGTCTTCTGTATCCGATTTTGATATAACAAAGTTTTCATTTGGTTTTCCAATCAAACAGGCATGTTGAAAGAATTCACATGGCCCTAAATTATATGGATACAAGCTAGGCCATTGCACATCTTTATTTTTCGGGTAACAGTCCATTGTATCAAAAATGGAGTATCCGAACATAAAACGAGTCCACAATCCCTGAAAACTTATTCATTGACACTCTGGTGTTACAGATCCCCAATGGATTTGGATGCAGATTAAGAGCATTGCAGCTAATCTTGTACACAATTTACCGCGACAACAAAGGCGAACACAAGAAAGCTACCACCGATGGATCAATGGAGATGGGACTCAGCAAAAGCAAGCATCACGAAGAAGAGCTATAAAAAATGGATCAAAATCAGAACAGCAACGTTTAGAGGCGTGTTTGGAATTTCATTGAAATAATTGTAACCCTTGTTAAGGTCTTGTTAATTCTGTATTTCTCTTTCATTAATGTTCCTTTAGACCAGCACTGACTGTCATTGAGGTGTATTGTAGTGTACTAACAGTAAGCAGGAGATGAATTTTGGGTATGTGTCATTTGTATTCTTCTCATTGTTGACCACAATGCACTGATTTTAAATCAATGCATTGTTGCAAGTTGAGAAATTAAATGGTGCTGAGTAAGGTCTTTGCAGCTTTGCTTGTGTGCTTTTAAGTTTTGTTATGCATCTGAGATTACTTGGCCAAATTGGGCTTTTAGCCTTTCTTTTATTTTGCTGGAGCCACCTGGATGCCACGATTGAATCGAAAGATGTTTCTACATCAAATCTCGCTTGAATCGCCATACCTATCTGTCTGAGGAGAAGTTTGGTTTCAAACTTGGACTCATGTTTTACAATTGTTTGTTCTGGGGGTGGGGGAGGTGTAGGCACAATCTTATATCCTTTCTTTCTTCTTTTTTTCATGTTGAAAAAGGACCTCACCTCACAAGCATGGTGGAGACTGGAGAGTGGATCAAGAAAACACATGTTCCATGCCTAGTAATTCGCAGAAACGTCACAGATTCTCTAGGGAAATAAATTTTTTGGGTCATAAAATTCGAAAGGAAGCAGTATACAATACGAACTCAATACAAAGTCTATGGTTAAACATTTTTGTCGACTTATTGTTCCTTAATGTGAACTGCAAATGAAAGAACCTAGTATCATCAAAGATAAACGAATAGATAATTAGCTACTGCTTGACACTAGTAAGGCAGTGTATCATACAGTTGCAATCCAAATTTATGAAAAAAAACATTGTGTTACAGCTAGGTCTGGTTTTCTTTGGTGAAACAATTCTTGTGACAGCTTCATATTTAAGGAAGAGTTTGGCCATTTTGACTCAAATGGACTCTATTAGTTAAACAACAACGGAGAAAGGTATGAGAAAGCTTTCCACGTCTCTATTAATTTAGGGATCACTACTTCATTAAGGGTGTGTTTGCTTTAAGTATCAGTAAAAAGAGATTGAAAAAAAGAACACCGAGCCCACTTTATCCCTCTTATACCCATGTCTGGATACACATTTTAGGACCGGTATTATCACCTAAAAAAAATACCGATCCGGATAAATATTGTATTTAATACCACTTACAACCTCTTAAACAAACCCACCTTTTTATGAGGGTTTAAATAAATCCAATGGGGATATATTTGGCCAAAAGACATTTTTACCGTCAAATTTCTCTAGTATATAAATATCATTTTTTATCTTGAGGGTTCATTAATAATTTATGTTTATACTATCATTCAATATTTCATCTAAACAAAGTACTAGATGAGATAAATGTAGAATCTACTATTTCTTAACACTTGAACCAAACATGAGATGAGGAGGCATTATCATTATAATTAGTTCAAAGGCCAGATGAATGTGTAAGAAATGGACGGCATTATCTAATCCAGTCCTTTCCACGTATAGTAAGAATGAATTTGATTCCTTAATCATCTTCTATGGTGAAGGTTAAGATACCTCACTCATAAATTTAGGGTTGGCCATGGACAAGTGGGCCACCCCGTGCCCAAGGCCAAGTGTTGGTCAGAGTTGGACCAACTTTTGTCCTGGGCCGGGGCTTGAGAAAAAATTTTGACACATACCTTGGGCCGAATATTGTGGTCAGCAGGTCAATTTAGCCCGAACTATATTGGTGTCATTTGCAAGTCAAAAAAAAAATAGGAAAATTTGGAAGCCGATTCCCTTATATTTAGGAGTTTGATTAGTATTAAACCTTTTCTCTCTAATATCTATCTATATATATATATATATATATATATATACAAAAAAAAAAGTTATCGTTTAAACACAAAAAATAATATCATTTAAACACAAAATAATAGTAACATTTATTAAACATAAAAAAATTATAACCTTCAATATTAATATTTTAAAAATAAAAATAATAACATTTTCAAAAAAAATAATAACATATTCAAAAAAAATAGTAACATGCTTAATAAACACAAAAAATAGTCATATTCAAAAAAAAAAAAAATAGCAACATTGAATATTAATATTTGAAACAATAATAGTAGTAACATGCTCAAAATAATAGTGAGATGAACAATAACATGCACAACAAAAACAATAATATGAACAGTAACATAATAAAAAAACATAATAATATTAAAAATTCAAGCCTAACAAATAATAATGATACTAATTTTGGAGGAGAGAGAAAATAGAGAAAAAGTCATGGAGGAGAGAGACAAACGGAGCTGGTAACGATGTCGCCACTACCTAGCCGAAGAGAAAGAGAGTTTTGAATTTAAATATTAAATTTATGATAGAGATTTTATTGACATATTTTACTTGACATTGAATTAATGGATAACAATTTCCAAAATATAAAATTATTTTAACCTCCTTTTAAAGGAAGGATATTTTTGGGATTTAAAAAAATAGTGAACTTAAATACTTATTAGTAAGATAAAAAATGAACTTATAACAAAAAAATTTTATTTGACGGACTCAAGTCATTTTAAATCTATCTAGGAGGACTCAACCCTAATTTTCACAAAAAAATTATTAGTTTTAAAATATGTTATGCATTTTCTACGTATATAGTATCTTGAAAATTGGTATTAATAAATATAAAGTCATTTATATATGAAATAGATTGTTTTAAGTTTATTTGTAATTTTTTGTATATTTATGTATACTAGCAATGCACGACGTGCGTTGCACATAAATAAATGTAAATAATATTTTTTTATAAAAAAATTATGAATTATATATGTAATTAAATTAAAATTCAAATAATTAATTTATATTTTAATTTATTACTAAATTTAATTATAAATTTATTCTATAAAATTTGGAGTACTTAATATGTCATTTATTTAAGTATCTTTCCGACCTTTTTAGACATTTAGACACTAATTATATTATATAATTATTAATTTTTTATTTTTTAAAATAGATTGATTAAACTGCTTATAATAATATTATATTATTGCATACCAAAAAATAAAATATAATATATATTTGACCATAAAATTCAATCTGATAACTATATTTGTATAATACTTTAACATATACATTCAATTTTATTTCTTCATATAGATATAAAAAATTGTATGTAACTGTACAAGTAATAAATGAATTCAAAAGAAATTTAGAAATCCTTATAAAAGAGTCCAAAATAAGTTAAACGTCAAATAGGAGTAAAAACCAAAAATTAAATGAAAGTATATATATTAGTGATTATAATTAACTTTATTATAATAATTATGGTTAAAATGAGAAATCAAAAGTTTTTTATTTACTTCTATATAAATATAAAAAATTGTATGTAACTATACTACAAATAAATGAGTTCAAAAGAATTTAGAAGTGTTTATAAAAGAGTTCAAAATAAATTAAAAGTCAAATATGAGTAAAAAAATAAAAATTTGATGAAAATATATATTAATGGGTATAATTGACTTTATTATAATAATTAGAGTTAAAATAGGAAATCAAAAATTTGAGTAAAAAATAAAAATTTGATGAAAATATATATTAGTGAGTATAATTGACTTTATTATAATAATTATGGTTAAAATAGAAAATCAAAAGTTTTTCTTAGATGCTGATATTTATAAATAGTATAAATCTATAATAATAAAATAGAACTCAATTTGAATTTTTTTCAACTTCAAAATTTAATTTATTTTAATTTCATTTGGGGAAGCACAAGAACAGCTCAGATTCATTCTAAATTTAACTCAACGGTCTAGATTTTATCTAATTCTTTCAATTGTATCTGATGGCCCACATTTCATCTCACACAAAAAGAAAATTCCGCCCAAATGAAACCCAACTCCGACACGCTCCGCACCCCTGCACTTTACCCAAACCCCTTACACGGCTACTCTATGCTCACCAGTCATCTCTCACTTCTCTGCCATGGCTCATGGCTCAACACAGCGGCGTCCCAGACCCCTTAAACCCCTTCACAGCAACCACCGATTTGCCCTTTCTCTTCCCCTTTTACTCGCTTTGCCTTCTCGCATACACATGGCAGAAGAAACCTCAGCCCAGGTACCTCCCTCTTCCCCTTTCACCGATTGTCCATCACACACTTCCACCAATGATTTGGGTTTGTGGTATATTGAATGGGATACTCCATTGCGTTCGGTTTGGGCAAACTTTGTGCATTTGATTTGATTTGCTTTTTTTCGGTTTGGGTAAACTACGGCTTGGGTGGGTTTGTGGTATATCGAATGGGATACTCCATTGTGTTCGGTTTCACCGATTGTCCATCACGCACTTTCACCAATGATTTGGGTTTGTGGTATATCGAATGGGATACTGCATTGTGTTCGGTTTGGGCATACTACAGCTAAATTTCTTATTCGGATTGCGATTTGATTTTTTTCTTATTCGGCTAAATTATTTTCACCCAAGCTTCGTCCTCTTCGAATCTAGCGTCAAGCTTTGTCCTGTGCATTTCAAATTTCGTCCTCTGTTTTCAAAGATCTGCATGTTAATGATTTTTGGTAAAGGAAGTGGTATTGTTGGGGATCTTTTATACCTCTACCATATTTTCATTACTTTGTGAATATTTGTTCAAACACACTTTCTAAAAATTATTTTTGAATATTATTTTTTGTTCAAACACACCCTCTTATAATTTTTTGGAGGACCCTTTGATCGTCATTTCAGACTTTTTTGGGTTGTTTGCACTTACTCTATCTAAAACTGCGGATGTTTTCCTTGATTAGTTGTTAATGAAAAGATTTACTTGAAAAATCCATGCGACATCCTATACAAGATTGAGGATTAAAGATGAATCACAGGGGAATATTGTTTTGGGTTTACATGCTTTGTATTTTTTTTATTTTTTGTTCGATTTTATGAATTTGGTGTTGTCTTAGTGAATTTGTTGTGAATTTAGTTGTTTATACATGGTTTCTAGGTTTTTCCAAGATGCAT